CATCTAATAGAATTATTTCTATTATTAAAATAATTATTAAGCTGATTAACAGTTGCTAAATTTTCTAATTTTGAAGTAATATTCTCAATTTATTCTGCTAACTTATTGATTTTAGTATTTGCAGGTGGTATTGACAAGAAAGGTAGACCATTTGATATAGTATTATATTATTAAAAGTTAGAATCATAAATAATTGCTATATTAATTACTTCTTCTAATATTACAGGATGAGTTGGATTTACAAAGAATTTAATTTCTGGTCTAAGCCTATCTATAAAGTAAGATAAATATAAGTAAGCTGGATATGTATTGGTCAGATTTATCCTTCTAATTAATTCTTTATAGCTATAGTATATTGCTTTATACTTTCATTAGGTAACTGTTTTCTTTATTTTAATTGTTATTGCTATTCATATAGTTAGTCATGATTTCTAAAGTGCTTTTCAAATTAATATATGAATGAAGCTTCTTTTATATTTAGATTAATATCATTAGCATAACTTCAAGTTTCTGATCATTCCTGGTCATGTAATTTTTCATTAGCATATCATGTGATAGCTGAATCTTTCAGATAAGCTCCTATTATTTGAATTTTTCTGTCATTGCAAATATCATTAGCAACATAAATATTTTTAAAGTCTTGAAGTCAACTAATTGAATCTTGAATATTATTATAAAATTCTATAATTTTGGCATAATTAGCTTCCTTCAGTCTTCTTAGAGCTATAGTAAGTACTTTAATCCTATTCATTAAATCTTCAAATTTATGATTAGTAGTTGATGAAGATAATGTTTTATTTTTCTTATCTCTACTCATCTCTTCTTCTTCAAGTAGTGTTAGAGAAATAAAAGTTAAAGTAACAGATATGTCTTGAGTAATTGGCTGTATTTCTAAATATTTATTAAGTGATGATTGCACTAATATTTGTTCAAGAGTATCTGGATTATATTTTTCAAACTGTTATAAAATATCTAATAGTTTTTTATTTGACTTTAACTAACTTGGATTAGGTATTTCTACAGGTATATCTTGCTACTTTCTTTACTTATATTCTGTTAGATATTTAGTTCTCTTATCTTTAAATTCAAATATCTCTTGTTATAGTTTATAAAGATATATCTGTACTTATTCTATTGATAGATCAGTTTTTTTTTCAATTAAAGTTACAAATTCTTTTCTTATCTTGGTTTGAGTTTTACTATATATTATTTCTTAATAAAAGTAATAGAATTTATTCCAGATAATCTATCAGTTAGGTTCAGTATAGTTTTCAAGATGTAACTTGATAAATAATTAAGTAAAGAATCTTTTTCTTTCTATTTTGATTTCTTTAGTTAGATTCACTTTGGATATGTTGCAAAATTATTTCTTTAATTATCTTTGATTTTCTACTAATTTTAATTTTAATTTATAGAGAATTCTTTCTCTAGATCTAACTTGAATTTGATAACCCTATAGAATTATTTTTTATAGAGAGGACATCAAAAAGTTATTATCTTTTTGGTATAAATTCGGAAATAGAGGTGAGTATTTAATCTAATATTATAAAAGCACGTGATAAAAGTATTTACATATTTAAAGTGATATTTGAAAGAGTCTTTAAAAGATTTATTAATAAGAATATAAATATTATTATTTATTTAAAGATAGGTAATAATAGTATTTTTATTATGACTAGCTAGAATATAATCTAATTTTAAAATATAATTTTCAAGACAGATATAATATTCAGTTTATTAATAAGATGAAATAATAGATCTTAATCAAGATCTATTCTACAAGAGAGATTTCTTAAAATTCTCTTAAAACTAAAATGTGAATTGAAAACTAAACTCATAGAACTCAAACTAAATAGCTAACTAATTAACTAACTAATAATTATCTTATTAACTTATTAACTATCTAAATTTACTAGTTAAGATATATTACTTTTATATATTTTAGAGGTTATATGAATAATACTTTTATTATAATACTTATGTTAGTTTTGCTGTAATCTAAATATTATTTTAACTAGTATTATAATATTAATTTTATTATGATAACATTATTAGTTTTGTTATGATAATTTTGCTAATTTTATTATGATAATTTTGTCATGATCATTATATTTACAAAATCTTCTAAAAATATCTACAAATAATATTCTCTAAAACTAATATTCAATAAGATATAAAGAATTATTTTTTCAATTATATTGTGATATGAAGTGATTAATAATAAAATTAACTAATATTCTACTAAAAGTTTATATTATAATAATATAAAGAATCAAGAAGTAATTAAAAAGAATAATTAAGTTTTAATAGAGATAGTTAATTACTAAGTTAAGAATGGTTAATTAGTATTATTCTTATAATAAATATATATATTTTATATATATTATTTTTAATTATTTTCTTCTTACTCTATTGAGAGAGCATTTTTATCAAAAGTTAATACTCAAATTATCTTATTAAAAAAACAATTAATTATCTTTATTTTTTAAATTAAAAAATTAATTATTAAAAATATAATTATTACTATTTTAAAATACTTATAGATGTATAAGCTTAAAATAATAATAATCTTTTTAATACTTTCTCTATAGATGAAAAATTAAATATTAAAATAATATTATATAAATCAGTTCAAGCTAAATCTAATCAAGCTAATAAATATTAAAATAAAAAGATAATATAATACTATAATTAATACTTTAAGATTAACATAATTATTACAGATATAAAAAAAGAATTATATTAATTAGTTCATAATTTGCTCTTAGCAAAAGTAATAAAAAAAAATATTATTACTTTAAAGTATCTATTATAATAGTAGTTATAATAATACTTATTATATCAGTTTGTTTAAATAACTGAGTTTATTCATAATTTATATAAAGAAATCATCACTTTTAATTAATAAAGATTATACTATACTTACTTATTAATTAAGAACTAGTATTTCAATTAGAGCTTTCATTTTAATTCTATCTTTATTAATATTTGTCTTATTATTTAACACTTTCTTTATCAATCTCTTATATAGAAAAAGTATAGTTCTATCTAAAGATATAAAAGAGAAAGAATCAGAAGAAGAAGTTCAAATTCCTACTCATCCTAATTAATTTCAACAGAATTAAGAAGAAATAGTCAATCATGTTATACAAGTATTAATTAATACTCTTATTCTACTTATTCATATAATGCAAGCTCAACAAAATAGACAAGTTGAGTTATTAATAGTATCACTTCCTATCTATAATAATAGAATACATGAGGATTCAATCAATTGGATTGAAGAATTTTAATAATTAACTAATATCAATAATATTACAGATATAAGAAAAATAGAAATAGTATTTGCCTATTTGAGAGGAGTTGGAATTAATTGATCTTTATTTATAATTATGTATTAATTATATCTTTTTCTATCACAAAAAAAAATCTGAAAAAATCAAATGAAAATTGATACTAATTAATGAATTTATTTATACTTAATCATTGTAAAGTTTTGAGTTTATTCAATGAGACCTAATTCTCGCAGATGCTCTGGAATAACTATATATAGATCTTCGTAATACCAAACATACCTTAAAACGATCCAATTTTCTTCGCACAAGCCTTTCTGGATAATAAATATCTAGTTCTAATCCAAGAAGATGATCAGGTGTTTTTAAGAAACCTGGTCGGCGAATATTAGAAGGAGGTTGCACTAAATACTTTGTAACAATTTCCCGACATAATTGTTCGCGTTTACAAAATGAGCACCAACTTCCTTGTTGAATACTATTGGGAACAGCTTCCCATCGATGTTTATTCTCACAAATCCATTCTAGCTTGGTACGCGAGTTATAGTATCGATCTGAAAGGCAATCTCCAATTTTTTACTCGTGCGAGTTTACGCATATCCTCAATTGTTTGATAACGACCAATGCAAAATGGACACCATTGTTCTCTATTTTTAATGTGGTAAAGTGTATTTTGTCATTGATGGTCATGTTAGCGGTTCGTCTATATTTTTATACTCATTCGAAAGGCATTCCCCACTCCTAGATAGTGCAATTTGCTTTGCATCCTCAAGGGTTAGTTTTGCAATACCCGCGCAATATGGGCACCAGAATTTTTAATATGTTTAAACGAACTATTCCAAATATGACCTTGATGGCATTTCCATGTCATCGGATTTTTGGAATTACTATATGGAGTTGAAAGACACTTACCATTTCGGCTAAGTGCAATTTGCTTGGCGTCTTCAAGAGTAAGACGGGCATTTCCTGCGCAATATGGGCACCATTTACCATGATCTTTTACATTGCTTAGAGATGCATACCACAAATGACCTTTAATGCAACTCCATAGTAATGGCAATCGATTATTAATGTACTTTTCTGAAAGACATTGACCACTTTTCAATAGCGCAATTTGTTTAGCAACCTCAAGAGTAAGTTTTACTTTACCTGCACATTGCGGACACCATTTTCCTAAATTTTTAATTCTAGAAAGTGGGGCACTCCATACATGGTTCTTAGAGCAGCGCCATATTAATGGAGTTCTGTTATCTTTATATTCGGTTGAAAGACACATTCCATCACGTTCTTTAGCAATTATACATGCATCATTTAACGATAGCTTTTTTTGTCGTAGCTGAATCTCTTTTCGCAGATCTAATGGAGTATCGAATCTTAATCTAATTGCATCTTCTGGCTTGTTTAAATGATATAGTTATTTAAATCCTGGCATATATCTATAATTTCTTCTAATAGAAATTCATTCGTATTAAAATAATTATCTATTCTTTCGAATTCTATCTGTTTTATATATTTTATTACATTCGGTAATGGTTTCTTTTTTATTAATTCAACAAAATTTCTAAAAAATTCTTCTCCATATTAAATATGTTGCACATTCATTATTAACATATAAAACTGGAAACAATAATTCATTATTAGCACATTGCAAAACAGGACACTCTGTATCTAATCTATCATTTTGTGATCGTAAATGATGTAATATCTCTAATATAATTTCGTTGAAAGATTTATATCAAATCTTTTTACTATTAACTTTGTATCCTGCTCTTTGTCTTTTTGTTTTTTCTCGAAATCTGATAAATTATCTGTAGAGTGGAACTCATTTTCTTCGAAAATAAGCAAATTTGGAATTTCAGGATATGGTGGCTTCCAAGTAATTGTTATACAATTTTTTACTATACAAATTCCTCTTTTCTCGAGTTTTAACTCTCCCTGTTTTGAGATTCACTCGTCCTGCAACTATAAATCCATCTATATGAATTCGTTTTACTTGATCTCCTAAAGGTTTTACAATTTCTGAGATTGTTTTTCGAGCTGATGCTAACAAGAAGGGTTTTATTCGAGGATGTGTTCCATAATTTTGTCCATCTCTTTGTTCGCATAAGGCACCATAATGAAACTAATAATGCTTTACTTATTTTTCCAGCCGTTCCACCTTCTTTCTTAATGTTGTATAATATATTACCCCATTTTTCCGAACATATCACTTCCAGTAATACATGTATTTTTT